TTCTATCAACAATTTAAATAATAAATTAATAAATAATTTATATAATACTTTAATATAAAATATATATACTTTTACGTATTGTAACTGCTGATTTACGGGTCATTGCAGCTGCTTTACATTTAATTTCTCCATTATCACGTTGAGTAACTGGGATACCAAATTTTTTATGTATATCTATTCGACTAATAGTAGTTTTATTAAGCTTTCTTCCCCTGTAATTATAAATAATAAAATTAAGATTATTTAATAAATTTAATAATTATAATAATAATATAATAATTAAATTACATGCTGGTTAATTGCTGAAAGTAACTTTAATTGTTTTCCAAAACGATTTGTATAAGCATGAGCTGCTTCGGCAGCATTTGTATTATTTTCAGCTTGAGTCCAAGTAATATGTCAATTTTTGAACAATGATAATTTAAAGAGCCAATAATATAAGGGGTGCGATAATAGTCAACTCATTCTAAAATATAAATATAAATATAAATAAATTAATTATATATGTGTGTAAATCTATATATATATAATAAATATATACCTTGTATTTTATCTTTATTCAAATTTGATAATTGATTGAAAATATTAAGTATTGTTGCTTCATCTTCACAATAAGGAATCGAATACATTAAATTTTTTGCAAATGTAGTAAAGTTTTTATTTTGAACATTCCTATAAATAAATATACAATAAATATATTAATTATAATTATATCATAATATAAATTAAAAATTTAATAAAATTATTTACCGATTATAATGAATTAAACATGATTTAAATATATATAAAAGATGTATACTCCAGTCCTTTGAATTATCAATTTTTTCCAAAGCTAATCCCAATCTCTTCGCTTGAGCAAGATCTAAATCTGCTAAAATGCAAGCCTATCCCTCATTATAAATATGATGAATTTTAACATATTTATCTGTAATTTCTTTAATTACTTGAAATAAAGTTTGGAATAATTGTTTATATCCCTCTGCAGTAAATACATTAGTAAAAATTCGGCAATATGACATAACTTTATTTATAAGCAAGAAATTATATATTTTTTGAATATAATAAAATAATTTAAATATAAACTCATTTAACTTATATTCTTGATTATAAGAATTATATTCAAATTCATTAATTAATTCTTTGCCCCTTTTGTAACTAATATCAATTTGAAAAAAAGTCAATTTTTGTAGCATATGAGCTAATTCTGGTAAAATGCAAATTATTATAACTTGGCCATTTTGAAAAAATTCTAAAAAATTATTGGTAATAATATATAAGTAATATTGTTATATGCTTAAATATATACATACCAATTTTTTGAACATATTTATGTAAATTATTTATTTTTTGTGATACATTATACCATACACCCATAATACTTTGCCCAAACAGATATAATTCTTTATAAGCTTTGTTGATTAAATATCATAATCGATCGACATTATTGAGTGAAACATGAATTTGATTTGGAATTTCTGTATTAAATGATGTTTTAACAAGATTTTCTTAAAATAAAATCAATTATATAGTTAAAATTAAATTAAATTAAATATAATATAATAATAATTAATATAGACTACTACCTGCAGTAAATAAACTTGGAGTTAAAGTTTCATTATTGCTAATTGCTTGTTTAATCAAATTGTGTAATGAATTTTTTATATTAGCAGGTATTTTTTCTGGTGGTGGTAGTGGATGTTCATAAGTTCCAATACAAATAAGTGCAAAATAAGGACAACTTGATATATCAGATAGAATAATTTTAATAAACCGCACAGAACATGGTTTTTTAATAATATTTCCTCGAGTAACTTGTCCATTTTTAATATGAGAATATTCTAAAAATAATTAAACTTAACTTAATTAAATATTTATAAACAGTACATAAAGTATAAATTTAAAGCTTACCACATTGTTTTCATTTACAACTTTGTGAAATAATAGAAGTGCAATTAATTTGATTATTATCATCAATTTGTTCACCCATAAATAACTTTTTTAATAATGGTAGGTCAATTTCATCCAAATTAACTTTAATAAAACGATGCCATTTTTCATTTTTCTGATATTTAGTACATCCAATAAAATATGATGTTATATTTGCTGAGTAATTTACAATTTTTCCAAGTTTAGCACTACCAGAACAACTAACTCCATTCTGTTGAAATTTGCATTTTGATTCCAATGATGCTAAATATATT